GGTCTGCGAGCAGCAAGCCGGTGTCCCGAGGCCCAGCGGACTAACTCCGACCCGGCGCCACCCTGGGAGCCCTATCAGCCAGGCGCCATCCCGGCAGCGCTGCGGGGCGGGGGTAGGCCCAACAGCCGGGACAGAGCTCGAATCCCAGTGCCGCCAAACCCAGATGGGGCCCGCCGCGCGGGGGAACAGCCAGGATAAAGCCTCCAAGCGCCATACCGGCGCCGCTGGCTTTCCCAGAGCCGATGGCTTCAGATTCCCAAGGCCCACCGAATTCAGACATAACCTCACCTCGCAGTAGATGCGGCAAAGAGGGAGCGTCTTTCGTCATCACGTTCTTGTAGCCGTAAGGGCGCTGCGTATGACGTCATGAGTGCGCGCCGCCACTCGGCTAAAGCAGCCAATCGGGAGCCAGCTTGAAGTTTCACGGGTTCAGTGGTATTTAAGGTCAGCTGTCATAAATACCAAGAGGATTTTCTACCTGTTTTTTCCTGGTAGCTAGATCCCGGGACCCTGCTGGAAGACGGAAGAGGGAGATGTCTCTACGATGCGGGGTAGTGGTCCGCACCGTGAGACCCCAGGTGAGCGGCGGGACTTCAGAGTGCGGGCGTGGGGTGGGGGGTTCCATTCTCTTCAGTGCGCCCAATAATAAGACCAACAATTTCTGATAATTTACTTCTACCCAGGCACTGTTCTAATCTTTTTTCTTTTTTTAATGGAAGCAGCAAATTGCTCTATTCTCGTGGCCCTCGGGATAACATAATATGTGCTGCTTCTTTTTAAAAAATTTATTTTTATTGATTTCAGAGAGGAAAGGAGAGGGAGAGAGAATCATTGACTGGCTGCCTCCTGCACCACCCTCCCCTGGGGGTCTAGCTAACCGAAAGCCCTGCTGGTGCCGTAACCGGGAATGGGCCCGCCCCACCGCTGACTGAGCCCTGCCCGCGGGGCTCTAATCTTTTTTCACGTGGTGTCATTTAATGCTCCCAACTCCCCTGTGTGGTACAGTCTCTGGTATTGGTTTCTTTGTAGGTTCTCTGGCCCACGCTGAGAGCTTTTCTCTCTGTTTATCACTGAGTTGAACCCTGCACTTTTTGGAGCATTTATAGGAGCACTGTGTTGTTGAGCACCCCTTATTATTTACTACTATAGGCCCAGTGTGCGAGATTCTTGCACTGGGAGGTCCCTCAGCCCAGATTGTAAGAGGGCACAGGCCAGGCCAAGGGGTGCACATTGGGGCAAGGGAGGAATCTGGAGGTTGGCCAGCTGGGGAGGGACCTGGGAGGGCTCCTGGGCCTGGCGGGCTTATCCCTGATTGGCTGGACCCCAGCAGCAAGCAATGCTACAGGTTGGAGTGTCTGCCCCCTGGTGGTCAGTGCACCTCATAGTGAATGTTGAGCGGCTTTAGCATATCATTAGCATATTAGGCTTTGATTGAACAGATGATGGACACTTAGCCTATTAGGCTTTTATTATATAGGAAGCATATCAGGCTTTTATTACAGAGAATGTACTAGACACCACTCTGGACGCTGAACACACAAACCTGTGCTGTAGGCTTTCCCAGAGACAAGGACAAGTGCTGTAGCAATCGTGCAGCACCATTAACAGACGCT